ATCTCTGGTCCGTCGCGTTCTGGCAATACCCAATCAAGTCAGCAGAATGTCCAGAAGAAGAAGAAGCCGTCATCCCCATGCTGGCACTGCGGGGCTTGGCACTTTGTCAGGCTGTGCCCTTACAAACAGCATCGATGCCGACAATGCAAGACCGTGGGTCACAAAGACGGATACTGCAAGGCACGCCCAACCAGCACATCCCACGGTGCCTCCAAGCAGCAACCACGCCCGCAGAACTCCAAGCAGGTGGGCTCCGCTTTGAGCCTGCTTGCAACATTTCAAGTCAGTGCCCCGTCTCATCGGAAGTTCCTCACAGTCCTGGTCAACGGACGTCCGGTCCGATTGCAGTTGGACACTGCGTCAGACATCACTATCATATCGGAGAAGCTTTGGAATACGCTTGGGCGACCACCTATCCGACACTCATCCAGAACCGCCATCGGTGCGTGTGGCGGTGAACTGCGGCTTTCCGGAGAACTGCAATCCTGTGTCTTATTCAAAGGAACGACACTCACTTATGTGGCTGCTGCCGAACTGAACCTTCTCGGCCTTGATTGGTTCGACCGTCTTGGTTTGGCAGATGTCCCACTCAGTCCCATCTGCAACGCGGTCCGTTCTCACGTTCCTGCTCCAGATCGAGCCGGTGGTATTATTCGGCGCTTCGCCAAAGTTTTCGAACCTGGCCTTGGTTGCTGTTCCACCACAGAAGCAACCCTCCAAATTCGACCAGACGCTATCCCAGTGTTTCACCCCAAGAGACCAGTCCAATACGCCTCCTTGCCACAGGTTGATTGAGAACTTCAGCGTCTCGAGCAACAGGGCGTCTTATCTCCAGTAACGTACTCCGAATGGGCAGCACCGATCATCGTAGTGAAGAAGCCAAACGGGTCAATCCGCATTCGTGCCGATTTCTCAACAGGTCTGAATGCCGCTCTGCAGCAACATCACTATCCACTACCAGCGCCAGACAATCTATTCACTGTGCTAAACGGTGGGAAGTTCTTCGCAAAAATCGACCTTGCGGAAGCATACCTTCAAATTGAAGTCACAAAAGAATCACGCCCGCTGTTGACAATCAACACACACCATGGGCTATATCAGTACAACCGTCTTACGTTTGGCATCAAAACTGCCCCTGCAATCTTCCAGCAGTTGATGGACACCATCCTCTCTGGCATTCCAGGTGTGGCCGCATACCTGGATGATGTGCTGATTGTCGCTGGCTCTTCCGCTGAACTGCACACGCGAATTGACAGGGTGCTTCAACGCATCCAGGAGAATGGTCTCCGCCTCCGTCCGGAGAAATGTGAATGCTTCTTGGCAACAGTGAAATATCTTGGGTTCATCTTCGACGCCTCTGGCCGCCATCCTGACCCGGAGAATATCCGAGCTATATAACAGATGCCACCTCCGAAAGATGCCCCATCGTTACGCTCTTTTCTGGGGCTAATCAGTTACTATTCTTCTGCAAGCTGAAAACGATGCTCAGTTCCGATATGCTGCTGACCCACTACGACCCGAAGCTACCGATTATTGTGGCAGCTGACGACTCCAATTGTGGAGTCGGTGTAGTCATTCTACACGTCTCCCCAGACGGATCACAGAAAACCATTATGCACGCGTCGAAATCGCTAACTTCAGAAGAACAGCGATCCGGCCAAATAGAGAAAGAATCGTTGGCATTAGTGTTTGCGGTTCGGCGTTTCCACTCTACTCACCTATCATAAACCACTGCTCTTCATCTTTGGTTCAAAGAAAGGTGCTCCCGCGCACTCTGCCAACTGCCTGAAAAGATGGGCTCTGATTATGCTGGGGTATGACTTCGATATTCAATATCGGCGCACCACCGACTTCGGCCAGGCCGACGCATTATCTCGCCTGATTAGCAACAAGCCAACTCCCGACACGGTTATTGCGCAGGTTGCTTTCGAGGACTCAGCCGATCCCCAGTTGGTCCAGTCCGTTCGGGCACTACCCATGACGGTAACAGAGGTTCAAAGAGCTACCACGGTTGATCCAACGCTTCGAAAGGCAATCCAATTCATGAATTCGCGGTGGCCTTCGAACCTCAAAGATGATTGTCTCCGACAGCTCCTCCATCGCCGAGATGCTTTGGCGATCGTAAACAATTGTTCAATGTTTGGAGATCGCGTATTGATTCCTAAAGCCCTACGCCATCGAGCTCTCCGTCAGTTTCATTCGGGACATCCTGGAATAAACCGAATGAAGTCACTTGCCCGTAGTTACGCTTACTGACCACACATGGATCGCGACATCTCTGACTCCGTCAGAGACTGCTCGAAGTGTCAACAGGCCGTGAAGAACCCCCCACGCCTTCCGCCAGCTGCCTGGCCTCGAGCTGAACGCCCTTGGTGCCGGGTGCATATCGACTACGCTGGCCCTGTTAATGGAGTAACACACCTCATCTTGATTGATGCCTTCTCCAAATGGCCAGAGGTTGTGCCTGTCGTCCCGCCAACGACAACGAAAACCATACGGGCATTGTCACAGCTCTTCAGTCAGCACGGCCTACCGGAGACCTTGATATCAGACAATGGATCACAGTTCTGCTCCCAAAAGTTCTGCCGAGAAAATGCCATCATGCAAGTCCGTTCGCCACCATACCACTCACATTCCAACAGGCAGGCGGAACGTCTCGTCGATACGTTCAAGCGGGCGCTGCTCAAGTCTCGAGGGGAGGGGACGCCCGTCGAAGTTCTCCAGAGATTTCTTTTGGTCTATCGGACCACTCCAAATGAATCTCTAGAAGATCGGAGGTCATCCGTCGAAGCTCTCATGGCCGGAAATTGCGAACTACCAATTCGGTACCGATGGCTCGTTCCCGACCTGACGTGAACACAAATCCGAACCAGTTTCAAATAGGCGAAAGTGTTTTCGCCCGAGACTATCGGCCAAGGCACGAACGCTGGATCGCAGGACACGTCTCACATAAAAACGCAGCAGCGTAATGTATGACATCTCTGTGGGCCAAGACATGTGGACCCGACACAGGAATCAACTGCGTCCACGCCATCTATCAGAGCCACCGGCACCCCAGGGTGACCTTCCACTCGACATACTTCTTGACACTTTTAAACTGAAGGCCGCCACACCTGATGCAGCCCAGCCGGCGACACAAAACGCACCAGCCAGTGAGCCAAACCTTCTACCAAGAAGATGGACAGACCGGTGTCGACGCCAAACCACTCCTTTCCAAATGGACCCCCGAAAACCCCGGTACTGACATTTTCTTTCCTCAAGGGGAGGTGTTGGGGATATCAGTATCCCCGAAAACGGTTTATTTCTCGAGTTATTGCCAATTTATTTTTCAAAAGAATTTGAATTTTTAAATTTTGCGCCTTTTCCGCCATGTCGCACCTCAATACAAAAAAGACCGCGCTGTTTTCCTATTGGCCAGTTATACTTTGTGTGCATTAACTGATTTATCGCTCCCCAAGGTCGTTCGAAATATATATATATTTTGGTTGAGGCAGTAAAAGCCCTCTTCTGAAGGTCTGGTCTTCTCTCTCTGCGCTACGAGTGGTTGGGCTCGCGTCATAGCTGGGGATTTGTGCGCTCGTTCTCAGGTCGCGTATAGCCGTTGATCGTACCGGATCCCGATACATATCATTTGGCGACGGGGATGGAATGGATTTACTTTATTTATAGGTAAGAATGGATGCTGAGATTGTTTACCACTCGGTTGCTTTCACCATCCGTTCAGGTTGAATCAACTACAAGTACACACGGTTCCGGCAAATTGTTCATCATCAATCAGTTTGGGAGAATCCGAGTGAAAGCTCACCAACGGCCATCAATCCAGAGTGGTTTTCATAGCATTTTGCCTTCTGTAAGTGTACTTCCCAAGCGCCATGATTCCAAGTCCAGAAATGAATATGTGCCCGAAAATATATTTGGCTAAACTACCAGCATTCTAATCCTATAGGTGGGTTTGGAAGTTCAGGATAAGGGTAAATCAGTTAAAATTTGTATTCTGTACAGGCTGTTTACACACGAAGTGTTTCAAAGGTGCGGTCAGTTCAAACATTTTATAGAATGCATACTAAATCAGACTGTATTAGAGCTACCACAGAGAGCAACTCCCTACATAGTACGGGGGCTGGTTTTCTGAAATCGAGAGAAACCAACCTACTCAACAACCAGCCACTGTCATGAAAGTAGGAGCTGCTGACGATGCAGAACAAACGGAGGAAACATACTTTAACATAGAGCCAACCGAACTTACTCTGCGTCCGTGATTGAGGGTGAGCAGACATTGCACATTCGAACATCGCGCTCGAAGCCCATTGCGGGCAGAGAGGAACGACTCGGAGAACACTTGTCACACACCGCTTTCCCACATCGACGACAGTGATGCTGTAAACAAACATCCAAAATATTACGTGAGAAAGAGGTGGTGATAATGTTCCTAGGGTACTGAGTTCGGTGACTGGATTTGAAACCTTCTCCCTCCTCAGCTTTGAAAACGGAGGCCAGTCGCGTACGGGGCTACGGACTAGGTGAAAGCGCGCCTTGATTGGTCAGAATGTTAATTGCCAATTTGGATCGAGCATCTGTACATCAACCCTTTTCGTCCCCTCACGAAAATTCTAGCGCGACACTGCGGAACATTCTGTGATGACCCTATAAATACAGTTGTAATAATCTTCCTTTATCTCAAGCTACCGTGCTCTTATATATACCACAGTAGGCGAAACAGGAAGCCAAGGACCGACATTAAAGTTGCACCACCGTTTGCAGTGCACAACAGCACGATATTCCGGAACAGTTTCAGCACAGTCCCCTGTGAAACCGGAAAACCAATCTATCGGTTTTCGTAAAATATTTCCACGAAACGCACAGTATATTGTATCAGACACGTGAGAGTTCAACCAACGAGCGAGCGGTTTAACTGGCCGTGGCGTAATGTTGAGTGCACGACATGACTAGACCCAATGGGTGTCCTAAGTTCCTAGTCCTGATAACTAAAATAAATATCGATTACTTCTTCATGGAGTATAACAACTTCAATTTAACTGGTTGATGGTAGCATATGAAACTACACTGAGTGACAATGAAGAGGTAACTTTAGTCAACTGGCTTGAATCGGTTCAAAGAAAGTGAATTCAGAGGGTCCATCCGAACCGGTAAAATTGCATGAGATCATGCACGATAAACCAATGGTCATTGTTGAATTGATTGCACCAAAGTACACCGAAATTCATCCGGCCGATAGGCTTCATTGCCACCTAGCCAGCCCGATAAAAATTGATCGGTGCAACTTGATGGCCGTTCGTTAACAACAATATGACACATGAAACAGTCGTCGCAAAACGGATGAGGATGGCAGTCAAAGTCTAGAGATTTTGTAACCGGAACACGTGAGAAAGGTGGGAGGAAGCTGCTGGAGTAGTGACATGCTGCTGTGAGCGCGAGGGATTCGGGCTTCTCGGGAGATTCTAATCCACTTATGGAGCGAATTAAAGGCAAACGCCTAGTTTGTTAAATAACCCTAGCTACTAAAAACGACTACAAAGTGTTTCAAAAGTCAAAACCGACCCACTTTAGTCATTCGTTCAGCAATCTTCCCAAATGTTCGTGGAACGTTCGACGATAAGTGAGACGAGAGAAATCAGAACTATCAGTTGTCGTACGTGGATGCTCGCCCTCGGGATATAGCACTGTTGGTTAGCGTTTTGAAGTGCATGCCTGAAGAGAACTCAAGGAAACCATCACCTGTGGTCAGTCTACCACCGAATTTTTCAAACGTTTTGCATGAACGCAGGAAACCGTAAGGAGACAATCCGTCTATTTAAACACAGTTAAACGGACATGGAGGTGTACTGGTGGACCGTCGATTCCGACGGTGAAGCACCGGTGTTAAACGTTGAGGTCATGCTGTCGATGATGATGATGATTTACACATCCATTACCTATTATCGTTTCGTATCTAATCGTCCCCAAATATTTCACACACCAAGTGAGAAATTTTCAGCTTTCATGCTTTTTTACGTAGGGTCAACGAGGAGTCTCGGATCTGTGTTTTGATAACGAAAACATCTGATGTATTTCAGCCAAACTGGTGACCGTCCAGCTCGAAAACAGGTTTTGGCCACTCCAGTGATACTAAAACGAAGTTAGCCTACCGCACCGATAATGGAAACCTGAAGCAATCAGAATTAATCGATCACTCAGTCAGCCAAGTGGCCAAGCGCCGATTTGGTGATGCGTGTGTTTGCATCGTAACTCTGTATGTGCGCGTAGATCCGTAACATATGAACCGTGACTTGGGTGTCCACGCAAATGAATTACTGAGCGGTAGACGACAACCTAGCTCTATCTGGCAGGTCAAACTTCCACAAGAACCGACTTACATGACAACAGCTGCTGTGCAGACTGATAATGAGGGCAGTTGTCGTATCAGGTACTACCACGGCCAATGTACACGACAAGTGCCTAATCGGCAAACAGGTTTCTGTAACAGTGGAAGACTAATAGAGAGGCAAAGGTTTCTCCAGACCACCTAGAATCGCTCATGTGATCACTCCGCATGTGGTAATGCGCCTGTATAAGCTGTTGAAAACACTATTAACCAAATAAACTAGACCTGCGACAGTTTATTCGTAATCCAAAGCTAAATTTGTCCGTAAATAAAGTACATTGGTAGAAGAAAGTTTTTTCGGTAACAGCTAGACGTACTTTGTACATATGAACAATTCAGACCCTGGGACGATGAAACCCAACTCTTCCACCATATCGGTACACAGCTGTCATAAAATCCAACAGAAGCAAGAAAACTAATATAACGCCGGATTGTTCAATAGACCGGTGCTCTTCGGAGTTCACACCTTACCACGAAGTTACCTCCAACTGAAGCTCCTTGGAAACGATGCACGAAGTCGAGTGGGATGTAAACCTCAGTTGTTCAAAAAAAGAAAATCAAACACAAAATCATCCTCTATAAAGATGAAAATGTGGAAGGATTGAGCGCCACTGAATTTCACGAAAGACGAAAGAGTTTTAGTGGTCAGTCTGAAGAAACTGGTAACAGAAGAATGACCGTAGAATGTGGTCTTCTTAGGAGTACACTGTCCAAAAAGATTACGCGATAGCTGAGGGAAGACTATGTGGTCGCTGCAACATTCAACTCGGCCCAAGCCTACCGAATATCGTGAAAGTAAATCCGGATTTCTCCTTGGAAGAGGTTACACATCATATTTTCATGAGGTGACAAGTCCTGGGTAGACAGTTACAGTCGCTCGCTTGGGTGACTGCGTTGAACTCCATCGCTTATCAAACATTGGTGCAGTCGAAGGCCATCACAAACAATGGTTGTTCGTTATTCACAATGAACGTGGGATTTGTCTAATTTCTGTACTGTGGCCGGTCAACTTCATCGAGAGAGTGGTTTATCTGCTATACCAGCGCTTGTTATCAAGACATCTTTGTGACTCCTCTTGAATCGAACTCTTCAGATGCAATGAGCACCAAACAACCAACTTGGCTGGGAAGCAGATTATCCACACAGCTCAAAAAAGTTTGAGTGATTTTGTAACCAACAGTAACTAATAGGAAAATTAGTTTTTTTTCTCTGGCTGAAATGAAAAACTGCCAAAATCGGTGCAACAGAACAATGACCACAAATAAAACGCGCAGCATGCTTGGTACCACACGTTCAGAGTATATACATAGGTGCAAAGTTTTGACTAACACAGGAATCACATTTGCGAACGCATGGAGGAGTGCGTTCGTTGTTGACGTCGATCACAGTTCGCATGGCTGCATACAGGGGTGCACAAGACGCATTGTATCGCATTCCAGTCCTAGAGGACTGGTAGCGATTCATTTCGTCATCGCATAGCAGTTTCCTAAAAAAAATTGCTTGCAGTTCACTAGTTCGGCATATAATTCGTTCCAGGACTACATTAGCACCCGGAAATTCAGCGGTTAAGTCGGGTGGAACGCACGCCTCCCAAGAAGTGTTTGGTTTTCAGTGCCGAATTCAGAGTGGCACAAAACCAGTGGAATGACAGAAGGGAATTAAGGAGGTTTGTGTACGACCCACGTTTCACGACAGAATTATGCGTGCTTGGCATGGCGCTAAACGATGAGACGGTAAAACGAAATCCACAAAGTTCGTGTTGCCAATCTCCATCCAGACTGTCTAAGTATTGCAGGTATGGGCACCTCGAATATTTCTGGTGGGCTATTAGTTGGATCCGTTCATCTCCTATTTCTGCTTAAACCGTTTACGCCAAGTGGGCGTACACCCAACTGTTGAGATAGGGCCAATGTTTAGACAGGATACTGAAGTATGGATCGAGGCCTGAATAACCATGTTTTCTGACAGCACTTTTAAATGACGTAGGTAGATCATAAGTGAAATGAAGACAACTGAAACTTTCGTGCGGAGAAACAAGCATTCATACACTCCAGACCACGTACATTACAAGTGGAGACGTATACGCCTGCGTCATATGGTGGTGGTGCACGAGAAAAGCGAATACACCCAGAAAACCAGCTGTGGCGTTAAACAATTCAGTGAGAAGATAACGGACAGTTAAGCTCAGTCAGTTGCGTAGGCAAGAACACCCGCACATCTTGATCTGTCATCATTTCTCTCTGACGATCGGCATATCAACTAATCGATCGAATTTTCGCTATGCGGTGATGAATTACCTCTTCTTTGTTTAAGAAATAAAAATAACAACTGCTCAGTTGTAACACGCTTTCAGTGCCTGGCTTCCATACCTCCCGAAGGAAGCACGAAAGTTCAGATGTTGTCAGCAGTACAATCCCAAGGGCTGGGTTCAAACCACCTCATCATCATCATCAATTTAAGAAATATAACAACTGCTCAGTTGTAACACGCTTTCAGTGCCTGGCTTCCATACCTCCCGAAGGAAGCACGAGAGTTCAGATGTTGGTTGTAGTACAATCCCAAGGGCTGGGTTCAAACCACCTCATCATCATCATCAAGGACAGCAACATCAGTGTTGCCACTGATGCTTCACTGCCGTATAACCATAAGGTTCGTCTAATTATATTTAATGCCCTAGAGTGAAAAGAAGAGAAAACGAGTGGATGAGGGAGGAGACCTGGTTTATGAGCATTCTGAGATGCATTCACCTCCAAGCGCTCAATCAGGCAATCTGGAAAGTAACTGACAGGACGAACGTCGCTGACATCGGTTAGCCGCCATTTCTTGCAATTTTCTCACCCAAACACAGGCTGGGTCACCGGGACCCCATCCCGGAGGGCGTACAACACCAACAAAACTCAAACTCCTCGTAATCTCTTTCACGCCCTTCTGCCAAGTTATGCGTTGTTCACCTCGCGGTTCCCACCATTCCGAAGGAGGCACGGAGAACAACACTAATCTCGGTGGACGGTGTTTCGGCATGCGTAGTACATGACCGAGCCATCGTAGTTGGCGGTGCTGGATGTTTTCCTCGATTAAAGTACCTACCGCTCAAATCGTTCAGCTGTAACACCCTTCTGGTGCCAAGCCGCCATGCCACCCGAAGGAAGCACGAGAACCGGTGTACTGCCAGATTGCCCAAGCCTAGACATGGGAAGTCAAGGAGCAGAGGTCGGGTTCGAACCACGAACCTTCGGTCAGTAAATTCGCGCTCTAACCACTTGAGCCATCTCGTGCCCCACCTGCCGCTCAACCAAATACCCATTTTCTA